AAGAGCGTTGGTGCTGCGTGACGAGGGTTGCTGCACTGTAGCATAGGAATTTAGTTACTGTTCTTATTCTTCTGCAGTCTTCTCAGGGACTACTTAAAAATGTCTCTCTGAGGTCTTATTTTCTAGCGTTATTATTGTTGATCTGAGGGCGTTGTAGTTTGGTCTCTGCGGCGCTATTATTGTAAACCTTTCCACTTCTGAAAGTCACTTGAATGCTGTTGGGGTAGTCCCAGCCCACCAGAAGCAAACGATTCTCGATGTTTCCTGGGATGTTGTTTAATGAGGCCTCTGATTCTTAGCGTTGTGCACTGTTGCTTTTCAAACTTACAGAAAGGAGAAGCAGTTAAATTTGCTCTTTTGAAAAAAGCCTGAAAAATGCTGCAAATTGTCAAATAGGGCGATTAAGTGCAGCCGTTGTTGCTGGATGAAGCCAGCGTGTGGCTCCTCATTTTGACTGCTGTGAATAACCCTCCTGAAGCTCAACTTCATCACCTGGGTTTAAGGCGCTTCCAGGCAGAGTTTCAGTTAACTACGATTTTGCATAAAAAAGGTATTTGCTAAACCTGGTATTACTGCAAATTGAATTAATAATACAGGTTATGGTTGGTTTTGGTTTGTCTTTTTTTTTTTTTTATTTTTTAAACCAATACTTGGTTTCAGACTAAAATGACCGAATCCTCCTCTCTCCCACCTGCAGGCGGCAATGTACTGGCACTGAATACCTGGGGAGCGGAGGCTGGGCCACATATGCAGGCCTTACACTTCAGTTTCGCTGTCGGTGCGTTTGTGGCTCCAATCCTGGCTAAAATGGCCTTGGGAGGCTCCGACTCCAAAGACCTTCCAGTAGCTGAAAAGACAAACCAGTCTGTCCCGAGGTCTGTGCTGACGGCGTCAGCTGCATCAGCTGCGTCAGCACTGAAACACCATCTTGGTGCAGACTTTTTGTGGTCCTATGTTGTCATAGGGACCTATCTTCTGTTTGTTTCTTTCTTCTTTTTTGTTTTGTATTCAAAGGGCAGCTCAGCGCGAGACAAATCAAAGGCTGCTTTGCAGAAGTGCGTGTTTGCCAAATACCACTATGCCCTTCTTATTCTCCTCTTCGTATTCTTCTTCTGCTACGTGGGAGCGGAGGTCACTTACGGCTCTTACATATTTACTTACGCAAAGGTCTTTGCCGAGATGAAAGAAAACGAAGCAGCCGCTTTGAATTCTGTCTTCTGGGGTGCGTTTGCTGCCTGCAGAGGGGTGGCAATATTCTGTGCTGCGTGCCTGTACCCTGGCACCATGATCCTGCTCAGTATCATAGGCTCCGCTGTCTCCTCTTCCTGCTTGGCCTTCTTTGCCACGTACCCGGCCTCCCTGTGGGTTGGGACCGCTGTGTATGGAGCGTCGATGGCCACCATCTTTCCCAGCGGCATTTCCTGGATAGAACAGTACACGGTCGTGCAAGGAAAATCGGCTTCTTTCTTCGTGATCGGCGCCGCGCTGGGCGAGATGTGCATTCCTGAAAAAACTTCAAGGGAGGTTTCGCCACGTTCCTGTGGTGATGTACACTGCCTGGGTGACCTCTGCCGTGACGGTTATCCTCTTCCCCCTGATGTACAAATTGGCCAACTCTCCCGGTGAGAGCCACTTGAAAGAAATGAGCGAGAGTGAGGACCGGAAAGCTTTGCTGTCAAACTCTGGGCTTAACGAGGATGAAGAGGATGAGGAGGATGCGGGAGAGTGGAATGAAGCAGACTTTGAGGTAATAGAAATGAATGACACGCTGAGAAACTCTGTGCTGGAGACCTCCCGTAAGATACCTGGGGACTCCCCAGCCAAAGTCTCTCTCCAGCCCCATCTGGACAGCATACTGCACGATTCTCCAGCAGTCGCTGGTGGCTCCCCTGGGAGAAAAAGTGTGAATGTTGACCGGGAGAAGAATGATTAAAGCACAAGCTGACTTTTTTTTTTAAAAAGCGAAATGCGAGTGAATCGTAGAAGTGGTTCAAGAATCCTTTCGTAGTGGTGCCGAGCTCAGCACGTTCATTTCTGTGTTTGCTCGGCCCTTCCCCCTTTTCATTTTCAGTCTGCAGCGATGTCTCTCGGAGTGGGAAGGTCCCCCATGACGTGACTGGGGTAGCGATACATCAAATGATACGGACTATATGATAAAACGTACAGACTATACCCAAAATGTTAAAATGTAAGAGACATTTTCTGATCATGAGGCATGCATTTAAGTAATATGTAGTAAGAAGTAACTAGGAAAGAAAGGGACTGCTCAGACCACTCAGTTTTTCGGGGGTGGGTGGAGGGTGCAGTTCTGAGGTGCTTGGTCACAAAATGTTTTCATGAGAGAGGAGAGGTATCTGTTATCTGTGATCCTGAGCTTATCTCGGGGAAATAAGGATGTTTCTACTGCACTGAAATTTGCATGTGACACAAATCAGGAAATCAACTCAAATTTCGAGTGATGCCCAGCGGCTGTAAATCGGATAATCTGCTGGCAAACAGTGTAATTTTCTGTCACTAAGATGAGAAGAAATGAAAGATTCATTTTTAGGAGTGGAACCATGCCTTTGGGTCTTTTAAACGCAGTGTATGGGAAGGGGGACAAAATGGGTCATAATAATCCGCTGTAATGCTTGCCTCCGATTTACTGGCTGAACAGTGGTGACAAATCTAGATAGTCTAAAGTGCTTGTGATTGTAGTTGTGATTTTGGTTACTCACTGAAATCAAGAAATGTATGAAGATGATACAATGGTATGTAAGCAGATTTCTTAATACATGGTATTGACATAGGGCAGTGATATTTTTAAGCCAGCTGTTTAAATTCAGGGTGTAACACCTTTTTCTGGCTTCCTGTGCCAAGGCTTTAACGTAGTGATGTGTTAAAAATGAAAATTTGAGAATGAGAGGTCATTACCGGTGAGGCGGGCCTGTCGGGTTGTACTGCGCGATCGCTTGCCCCTTGCCAGTCGGACTGGTGCCACTGGGGTTTCGTTTCTTTGGGTGACGACTTGCAGGCAGAGTCTTCCTAGCGGAGGAGCAGCAGTTCGCGGTGGCAGCTTCGCTGCTGCTAAGCAGGAAGAGCTGGGAAGGCCCCGTTCAGGCTGGCCAGCCCTCCCCAGTGAGAGCAAAAAAAAAGCAGCAGCTAACGGCGAAAGTCTGGCGCAGAAGGAGAAGTCTTGCAATTTGCCTGCTTGAAACTTGAATTTGTAGGTTAAGTAATTTATTTTTTTTTTAAGGCTGCCTGATCAGAAGGTGCTCATGTTTGGGTTTATTTGTGGTTTGTTTTTTTTACTTTGCACTGTTAGTAGTGTTTTTCTTGCCAAGAAGGTTAATTTGCTAACAAAGGCACTCTAGATGTAGCATAGCACACAACCATAGACGTTCAGTGTGTTGTCAGGGCTGGTTTTGGTCCCTCTCTTGTCTTCGTGAGTGTGCAACCTAGAACCTCGTAGTTTTTTCCTTTCTTGGGAGAAGTTAATAAGAAGCAGGAATCAACCTGTAGTGAAAATGCATGGTATTTTTTTTTTGCATCTTGCCATGTTGAAAGGCCTCCCTTTCCCTCTGCTCTCGGCACTTGAACGCCATTACGTTTTTGCCAGATTCCTTTTTTTTTTTTCTTTCCTTCCTTGGGTGTGTACGTGCGCGTCTGTGGCATCTTTTCCAGTGCAATGCATGAACCTGCACTTTAAAATATGGCCTCGTTTCACTTGCTACGCAGGAGTTCTCTTTGCTTAAAGTAATGGTAAATGCTTTTACATACCAGGCCAAGCCCTGTTCTAGGTACACGACAGCGTTTCTTCGGCGGGAGTAAGTCAGGGTGGCCGTGCCTGTTCAGTTGGTTTTGTACGGTGACAAATGACGTGGTGTGGCAGAGGTGGTGACTTCCACAAGAGCAGACCGAGCCTGCATTTCTCCAGCTTCCCTGTCCCCAGCGACTGCCGTGAGTGTGTAGGAAGTGGTGGTGGGGGTCAGCAGATGGGAAGGACGGCTCCTGCTGGTGGATGGGGACAGGGACGTGTTAACTGCCCAGGTCCCTTTGGCAGAAATGGGGTTTGGTGCAGGGCAAACAACAGAAGACAGGGAAATGGTTCTGCAGCAGCTTCCCTGCTGCAACTGCAGCCCATGGGAGTTACCTGAAGGGACAGCGATGTAAAACAAAGTTTCCCCAGACCTGAGATCATGTTGCTGGAAGAAAATCAGTTTAAGAAACGTACCTGGCAATGGGAAGATTTTAAATAATTCACACGCTAATTTTTGGAATGAAATTCCAAACTGGAATGTCCTGCACTTAAGATTGTTCTCAGGGATAATTTACAGGTCTTGCATAATCAAGTACTAAAACCCCAGAACATGAAATGAAAGCTGTGTTGGGAAATACGCTGTACCCTCCTTGAACCTTACCTGTGTATTGCTTGTGTACACTCAGTTATTTGTTTCTGACTAATGTCTTCCCAACAAATGTAAAAATGCTGTGCAAACAAAGGTGGTTTTTTTTTTTCTAAAATGGCTGTATTAATTCCTGCATGAGTCACTTGAATTCATCCCCATTTCCCCCCCTTAAACGCAGGAGGCCTGAGCTGCAGGAATGGAGCAACAGCCTGGAATGCCAACAAGGTAAGAGCAGCTTTTTACAGAGGGTAGAGGATCCAAAAAGCAGTGGCGCAGGCCACTGATGCGCGGAGGCCTTTGTCTGGATGACGGCTAAATTCTGAGTCATCTTAGCGAGCGTTTGGAGCCTTCAGTGTCTTAATTCGGGCCTCCAACTTGAAATGGGATCTACTTCCAGAATGTGTTCTCCTTAGCCCCTGGAAGCCGGCTTTTAATAGCAGGGCCTGCCCTTTAGTGAAAATGAAAAGCAATTTAAGCTTAAGCCAGATCTAGGACATTTCCAGTGAGTCCAGCTTGCAGCACTTCCAGACATCCTTGATGTCCAAGGCTGTAGCTTTCCTAGTTCTTGGACTTTGGTGTTCCTTCAAGGCTTGTTTTTAGACAATGAATGTTAGTTTTTACATGTTGAAATTTCCTTCCAAAGTAAATTGCTTCCTGGCATATGTGGTTAAAGTGAGGATCTATTTACAGTGCCTTTGAAGATAAAGATCCTCCAGAAAGCTTAAAACGCTTAAATTTACCTGTTGTGGGTTGAAATTACTGGAAGTAAACTGTAGTAATTACCACTGCCTTGTTTATGCTAGAAGAGTCATCTCTGTGTTGAGGCCAAGAACCATGGTCCATGGATGAGATACCTGGATTTATTAAGAATCATACTTTTGTCCATAAAGCCAGGACCGAGTTGGAGATGAGCCTTGCCCATCTACTCCAGTGTTAAAGGCAGCCTCTTGCACTTAAGCGTCATTTAACCGATTCCTTTATCCCCGAAGCACTGCCAGGCGCTGGACTGTCCTGTGAGCTCTAACTCATTAGTCCTGGCCTTTGCACTTTCATGCTGTACGTGGCCAATGCGAGAATGCACGAGTAGGCAAAGGTTTGTGCCTTGATGGGTTTTCTTTTATTTAGTCACTTTGCGTTGAAAGCGCATCGCAAGCTGTGGATGTTCTATTACATAGGTGGAATAGTTCTTATTCTGCTCGGTGTGGGTTTGCCTTGTACTGTATAATGTGAAATGTAATAGACTGACTTGTGTCTTGAATGTAATAAATGCTCAACTGGAGAAGGCACTCAGGTTCCTTGATGTAAATAAAGTTTTGTTCTATTTTTCAAAGCTACTCTGGACTTCTAAATTTAAGATTTACTTCAGTTTTGACTAATGGAAAACTGGAACTGTTTCTCTTCTGGTTTGGGGAAGGCCTCCAAGAACTGATACCGAGGTTTTCGATGCCAAAGCTTAACCTGGAAACCGAATTCTGGCTTCTTAACTCTTACTTGAGCAGTCTTGTTTCCATTACCACTTGTGTGCCAAATGAGGGTAACAAAGGTACCTGCACTTGAAGGTGAGTATTTAAAAAGCACGTAACTTTTACCATATCATTTTATTCAACTTTAATATGGTTTCCATTATTAACTTCTAAAACAAAATGATTTCCAGTTTAGAAAACAATGCACTGACCACATAATTCCTTTTCCATTTTATACAGTTATACAAATATTCTAAATACACATTTTGTCAAGATGGTGGCAAATAAGATTTAACTGTACAGTACATAAGGAAAGAAAATATTTTAAGCATATTTAGAAGCAATAGAAATGTCTATACAAAACAAGCAAAAATGGAATAAAATTTTATATTTAAAGTATTGCAACAGTCCCACAGGTTTGTAACAAAAATGTCTTTGCACAGTTCCTCACAATGCCCCATTAATAGCTAAAGCAAGACAGCAATTTTTAGAAAATAATGTTTCAAAATGCTACACATGATACTACTGCTTGCACAGTCTGATCAAAATAACAACCTACTTGGAATCAAGCAAAACTTAGGAGGAGTTATACCAACCAACTTTAAAATTATCTGTATAAAAGTCATTGCACATTATTTTACTCAGTTGTTTGAAAAGTAAAAAAGTGTATTTACAAAATATTTCGCAGACAAAATTATAAAGTGAATGGATAATATATAAGTAACACGTCTTGATACTGACAGTTCAAGAACACACACGAATGGTTTTATCGTTTTGAGAGGTTTTCAGTGCTCCTTCCTCCAGGAAGTAAACTTGACTTCTGCTTTGAAATGGATTTACAAGATGTTACACATAGCTATTCCAACATCAGCATTATAAAACAGTATGTTAGAAACATGAAAGAAAGAAGAAATTTGTACATCTTAAAAAGTGAGCTATTCATAGATCAACAAATGTTTCTGGGTTGGTTTTTTTTAATTTAGTATAAGCGTTCATTGTTCTTCAGATAATAAACCCGACACTTAAAATGGAAATCCTGGACTAGATGAGAATTGAAAAAGCACCATGCACAATAGTCTTAGTGTGGTAAACACTGAAGGGAAAAAAAAAAAAAAATAGCACCTGGAATCCTGTGACACAGATCATTTAAAACTGGTCAAGTAGCTGGCGAAGATAGGGTGCCTTGGACAGTTCTCTGCTTACTCTGGAGAGCTTGAAGAGTACTGGACAGTTGAGGGAGACGCACTGGATCTGTCGATCAAAGCAGCCTGTACAGTTCTTGCATATCTAGATTAAAGGTAAAAAAGCAAACCAGATTATTTTCAACTCAACCCAAGCAAGGCATATGTCACTTGGGACTACCACGTCCTCAGCGTTGGATCAGCAAAACTGGTGCAGCCCAACCAGCACCAAGCTTCCCCCCGCCACGGAGGGATCCAGAGCAGCTCCCTCCCCTGCTGCAGCCTCGCCGGCCATGGACTGGCCATGGCCAGGCTACGGCACCCACCCTCCCCTGGGCAGGGATCAACACCTTGACCATACAGCTTGGGTTTCAGTCCAGCTAATTAAGTTCTACCCCTACATGGCGGCACTTGGAAACATCAGGTAAATAAATCGAGTGGATTTAAGCTGGGCAGTGTGTCATATTCATGATAAACTTATCCTATATAAAAATTTCCTAGTGAAAAAAGGCAAAACTCTTATTCTGCAGTTTTCATAAAGTACTTCTCTCTCAAGATAAGCTTCAGTTAAGAGTTTTACTTTTGAAATCAATCAGTCCCAAGACAGAAATGCACAGGGCATGCAGGTTCCACTGCTCTCCTTGTTCACAGAGCTACTGCTTCATGTCGTTAATGCTGCTCGAAAGTACTTTTAACAGGGGATACCTGATGGAATAAAATAGCAGCAGGCATAGTTTTTCCAAAGGTAGCGACCTTCAGAAAACGGAAGGCCCCTGCTTTGCTATTTTACTTTTAATCCTTTCCAGTATTCTGCCACCTCCCAACAGTTTTTCCAAAAACTCAGCAATTTGCTTTCAACCACACTTGTGGTTTGTAACATCAAAATGTTACACAATGTTAACCTACCGTTCGCATAGTTTGAACAACAGAGCAAAATCATATCCTTTGCTTTTAAAATTAGTTCTTTTCCTTATTCCCATGCTAAACTTATTTGGGCACCAGCGACCCTCTCAGCCAGACCCGTATCAGCATTGCAGACCAGAAACCCAAACTGGCAATAGCTGGAGAGGAGCAGCCCCCGCCCTGGGCCAAGTCCCAGACACGGCACCTCAGAGGGTACCAGTCCTCTGACCTGCAACCATGACCAGGAGGAGCAGGATTTTAAAGGGTTGGTTCCAGGTTTGTAAGCCCAGAAGAACCTCAGAGATAAGCCTACCCTAGACAGG